GATTTTATACAAGCAATTACATTTCGCGAAACTCTTGATGCTGGGGGAGTTCAACATATATCGCTGAAAATAAAATAAAAAGATCAGAAAATTACGTAGAGAAGCATCAGAACGGGAGTTCCTGTGACTCCTTTTTGATCAGTTCACACGTCCTTCTAACGACGCTGGCGGTATTAACGCGATATTCGAGTTGAAGCTAGATTGAAAAGCTGCCTGTCGATTTTCCCGCCGTGATTGCTTTCGCCTGCGATGGTCTTCGTGTCCATTTGCAGGAGTTCCAGCCCATTCCTCATCCGTTCTTCGAATGCAGTCATGCGACGCGGTCCGGTCTGTGAGGAATTGAATCATGGATCCTACGTGCTTCGGGTTCATTAGCATTTCAGCTTCCGAGGGCGGTGCGGCATTACTGGACTTACACAGTCGCTATCAATTTGCCGCGAATCAGCCGTTGCGTAAGGACGGACGAATTGGACACGATTGGGAAGTGATGAAAATAGGAAATTTTCTTTATTTTACGCATTCGAAACCCTTTCGTTATCCCTAAAAATCACTCCTTAGAAATGCATGCATTCCAGGCATCAAGACATATTTCGTGTGTGGCGATCCAAGTCTGGGTTTTTGCCTACGAGACTGCGCTTTTCTTCGACCTTCTCACTTAGTAGCTCCGTGAGAGAGAAATTCCAGAGACGCATGCTATTAGTGTGTTTACCAAAAGTCACGAATCACAGGAAAATAGCATGGGGGATCGCATGCGCTAACATGCATAGACGATGCAATGCAAAGGCAGTCTTAATCACAAAATTCCAATTGACTCGGAGTGGCCCATAGTTCCCCAGAGTGGCCCGAATCGACCCATTGACTCTCCTCTCATTACTCTCATTGGTCCCCAAATTTTTTGAGGCGAGGGCCGCATGGACACTTTGGTCTACTTTGAGTGGGCCGCACTTGTAACGTTAGTCAACCTGGAGTGGACCGCATTGAAAAAGATCCATTATTTCTGCATGGTTAACCCTTTATCTGGCCAACGATCTCTTGTCAAGCTACTCTAAACCGGGAAGTCCCATCATTTAAAAAAATGATCAGCAATCGAAAAATGCTTATTCCTACTTATCCACACACACTTTCACCTCTCTTAATAACGAAAACTGCTACTACTTGGAGTCGGGGCTCATGTAAACGCATCGACTCTAGGTGCTGCTTTGTTACATGTTGTATTTTCAAAAAATACTTATTTCTTTTGCCTTAACTTCATTCACAGACAGAAATACATTTTTTCTCTGAAGTATATGGAGGTTCCGAATGTCAGGCATTTAGAAGGTGCACACCAAAATACATAAACAGGTAAATGTAAACAGGTATTATATGTACCTAAATATCTAAGCAACGACTGAATATGTTAGTTTTCAACGAAGGATTCAAAATCTGCAAGGAAAAAATTGTTAATCGCCATTATTCATCAGTGCCGATAAAACGGCTACGTGTGAAAAGTTAATTATTAGTAAATCATAGTGGGCCGCATAAAAACCATGAAGTGGGCCGCATGCAGTCCGCGGGCCGCACTCTGAATATCATTGCTCCAGAGCGACACAAGACCGACCCATCATGATCATTTCACAAATTCAACCAGAGTTCCTCTTGTCAGAGCTCGTTCGCAGAAGATTCTGCCGATCTGTTTGCTAATTCGTTCCAGGGATTTCGAATTTTGGATGATGAAATTCTTCAAGAAAATTTAAGGATAAAACAATGTACTCTAAATAAAGAGCTCAAAATCGTGCGATAACCTGAAAGACCATGGAAAATTCGATGAATGAAGATGATCTCTAGCACCCTTGAACTTCTAAATAAGGTGCCAACGTTTTGTGCCGATTGTGGCCTTTAGATTAAAATCGCCTATAAATTCAAATAGGTCGAATTGGAACCCATGTGATACCTATCGATAGGCCTCCTTGAAACGATTGAGACAATTTTTGGTCCTGTTCGGACAGTCTGTCTCCCTATAAGGCTGTCAGTAGTTAGCTTGCTACCCATCGCTGCTGTTCAGAGCATTTAGTGACACATCCATAAGCATGCCAAAAGCATGATGTACGAGGTAAATGGAGATGCAATGATTTCTCTTTCTTTACTGGTGCCTTCCTCCGCCGGTTCCTGTAATCCGGCTGGAATCTAATCCGATAGATATTTTTGTCTGTGAGAGGATAGAAGGAGTAGCTTTCAGTGAGACAGGAGGGCCGGCACCTTGCCACATTCACACCCTCACGTACATTTTTCCTCTTTGCCCGTTCTCTGGGCACCGGCACTAGCGCCATAGGCCGATGACCGATGGCGCCGATAGTGAAACACCGGCGGCTGATACCGGTGTCACGTAGGTGCTTTCGCCAAAGGAATGCTTCAAAGCCTTTATTGAAGGAGAGTAGGATAGCGTAAAGGGGGGTGTGTCCATCCCTCACGTGATCGAGAAATATACAGCAGTTCAACAGTCAGTTCCGTTTAATACAAGATAAAGGAAAAGGGACCGTCTCGTGTAGAACCTCGGTGATGAAAAGTTGCTGCCGAAGCAAGGAATGTAGGTGGAAAGCAAGGAATGGTGCTTCACCGGAGAGACTACGTAGGAAGATAAAGGAACGGGATGTCGAGGTATGCTTCTCATGGCAGGACTGAGGAATACCTTCCTCGTGACTGGGCACCATCAACTGCTCTTGAGACAGGACACCCTGGAGAATTACGCCACGAATGCCTCGAGAATACCCAGGGAATGCTCTTCAACGTGGAGAAGCCTCCATTATTTAAGGGCAAAGCTGACCGGAGAAAGTAGTCCTCCGGCCCAAGGCGAGGGGGCTGGGTACATGCCCCGTGGCAAGGACGAAAGGGGTGAAAGGGGTTACAAATGGAGCAAAGAAAACCCTTCGAGTACATGACACCGGTGTTAGACGATACATCGGTACAGCCCTAGAATGAATACATAATCAAGTTCCTTCTCTCTCAATCTGTCAACCAAGTCTTGGCAAGTTTGTCTGGGAACTGATTCCAGTACTGTTCGGTCAGAACCTTTTCCTGTTATCACGCAGTCAGACTGCTTCCTTACCACCCCACTTCTCTTCAGAACCCGGTTGGCGCAGACTCAGAGCCTGATTCAAACAGGAAAGAAACAAACATATTTCTTGCAACCGTAATCAAATTGATCAACCACAGATCAACCTAGGCTTAGAAAACCTAGAGCCACCTAAACCGATTTTGCATCGATGGCGACTTGAGGACCGATCGGTCCTCAAGCAAAGCAAAATAGCGCGCAGTTTTCCGGGAGAATCAAGTGCTAAGCGTCCTTTCACCTCGTGCTTCAGCTGCGTCAGCTAGGTACTTCAACCGTTAATCAGATGAGAGCCCACTCGAGTCCCATGAGTCTGCTAATCTGCGACGTCACTGGCTGCGCGGGAAGATGGGAAGACTTAAGTCTACGTAAGACGATCCACTCGAATCTATCGTGCGTTAGAAACAAGGAGGAAATCGTCCGAGTGGAGCCAGCCCTCTTCTCCCTCCAAACCTCAATGTTTGAAATGTTTCGAAGGCCTCGACAATCATCAAACCATTTCACTAATATCAGCTCGTGTCTCATGATGGTAAAAGAACAAGAAGAGGAAGGAAACACTTTCGCTATACAAATGGGCCAAGTTCGAAGGCTCTAGGGAGATTTGGGAGCGTTCATAAAGGGTGTTAGCGCCCTGCTATCAAGTGCATGAATGAGTATAATGGGAAAATCTTCTGATCCTCATGCAGGCGAAACGGAAACGGTTTTACTGAAATCTCGTTTTTAAATGCAATAGCACGGAGTGATCGTTAACTTTCGTTGAGACGTTACGTGAGGACTGAATCCGCTGATCCTCACAGATGGGCGTCTTCGATTTTTCTCAGGATCCCTTCATGCCTCCCTGAGGCTCTTAAAATATATGTATTTCTTGAGCATCGAGACGGCATCGAGTTTATGTTCTCCATTATATTGCTTACGGCAGACGATGATGATCCCTTGGAATGAGGACATGAATCTCGAGGATTCCTCTCGTTCCTCCGACAGGCAAGACGGAGACGCAAATCGAAGGCGCCATTCGTTCGGCTTCCGCGATTCGGTCTCGCGCGCGTCACACTTCCAGGTGGATGCACGTAGCAGGCAGTATGGAGATTGCATTGTGATGGAGACACGCAAGATGAGAATGGCTTTTCCTGTACGGATCAATGATGTCTCTTGACTTCCCTCAGGATATGAGAATTCTCGTTTTGAGGAAATTCTCTGCCGGATTGCTCCTCTCAAGACTTCATGTACAGCCTATCCGGACCCACGAAGGACCCTCCTCAATCCGGAAAAGGCAGTTAAACTCTCATTTGCAATCGATCACGTCATGCATAGGCTATTCTCACCCTTTCAGCTCTCTAAGGCTTAAGGTAAACGAAGCCGGGCTTTTGCCATGTCATAGAATGGCTCGAAATAAAGGTTCGTGCCGTAGCAAACTAAGAAATTTATCATAATGAAACGTTCAACGAAAGTAAAACAAATTAAACCGTGGAACCGCAAGGTAATCTACAGTATTAAAGGCAGTTAGAAACGCGGAGTTTTTTTTGTAAATTATGAATGGATAGGAACTGCGCAGAAATAGAGCAAGCCGGTCAGAACTAATCAGGATCTACCGAGCATGGAAGCGTCTCGTATATTTGTCCTTCCCTCCTGCCAATGTTGAGTTATTCTTAAAAATGTTGCTTTAGCTTAGTTTGGCTTTCCATATCTGAGGTGACAGTGAAAGTCGCATGTATAAAGGAGCACCGCGCTCAACAAAGGCTAGCTTACAAGAAAAAAGTATTGGCTAAAACAGGAATTTATGGACTCTAAATGACGTAAATAGGACACGAGACAGTGGTAGAGATTTGGAAAGCGGGATTTCCAGAGAAGCGAAGACCCAGTAAAGAGATAAGATAAAAGTTGCTGGGAAGGCACGTCGGAGGAGAGAGGCAGTGTTGTCCTGTTAGAGGAGATGGACGCTTATCATCACCTCCGACCCGAATGGGAGAGACGGAGACGGTTGTCGCTGATCACGTTTTCCCTCATCGGAGCGCCGGCGTGTGCCCTCCTCATAATCGGGGTCTTGAAGGCCGTGCCGTCGCACATCGTCACCTACGTCATCTTCGCGGGTGCCCTCCTCGTTCTCTTCTCCCTTCGCTTCCTCGTCCACGCTGTCTATGCCAAGCGGGACTGCATCCGGGAATACGCGGTAAGCTCAAACTTATCGAGTTTCATAACTTTTTTTTCAGATGTTACTTCTATCCCGTCGTTCCTCGATTACGCGATTAGGATCAATGCTTGATTGAGCTTACCTTCACAGTGACTACAAACCTTTAGGCGCTGACGTCAACAGCCATTGAATTAATTCAAGTGGTATACCCTATTTTCTGCTCATTCGCATCGAAAGGCAGAAAATCTGCAAAGTTTCAAGGGATCATCTACATTCTCCAAAAGTGAAACATGAGGTGAACAGTGCTCGATCTTTCGTCTCCAATCGTTATTCTGAGTGAGCCAACTAGTAAGGACATGGGTTCGTTCTGAGACACTTTGCAGCAGTTGTTGTCAGTGAGAAAAAGAAGTCGAGCTCCATTCGTATTCAGTCTAGAAATGAGCCCGAAGCGTGGCCCGCGAGTGAATTTGGGGAAAAATGGAGACAAGAGATAAGGGTGCTTGCACCTTGCACCCAGCGATCAGACTAGACTGATTCGGTGCATGGGTATCCTAGGAGTGTGGCGATAACAAGGGTGACGAGTGACTGTTCCTAATTCGACCAGACACTCATAGTCTCCAAAAAAGCACAGGTTTATTTATTTTTAATATCTCCATCTCATATGCGAGGTCCCAGTTCTTCATACGACATTCCAGATGAAAAAGAAATGATCCTGCCAGCTTAAAAAATTTAACCTGCTATTTCAAATGTAATAACATTTCCAAGCTAAACTAAGAAAAATCGTTGTGGAGAAGCAATTTATTGTTGATCCTTCCCGAGTACTTCACATCCCGGGCACTTTTCAACCTACCAGCACCTAGAGAACCTCATGTCTTCAGCACATACTATCTCAGATGAATGATAAATTCGGTCGTTGGAAAATCGGAAAAAAATCCCATTATTTAAGATGCAACGAGAATTGTAATAGTGCAAGACAAGTGGTACGAAAAAAAAAATCCAATTTCTTAATTGAGACCGCTTGCCGTCTGCATTCTGCCATGATAGAGAGGGTCAAAAGTGACGTGCTTGGCGAGGAACAGACGTATGCGGATTGTTTCTTCGTGGCGATTTTGGTAATTTAACTTGGAAAAGTTATTGAACTCTGCGAAACATGGCGGAAATCTTTATTATTTATCTGAAATGTCAGGCGCAAACAATTTTGACAACCCCACAGTGAAGGTATATGACATAAAAATTAAACTGACGCATTTTTTGGACTTAGCGTAGACGCAAAGCTTTCGCTCGGGCATTCACTCCATCTTTGACAATTTGGCCTATTATGCGACAAAAGTTCTTAGATTTTGCTGCCTGCGGGTCTGCTGCTCACAGGCTTTCACCCGGTCTAGCACGAGCTCCAATCGTCGAAAAAGAAAACGAAGAATCTCACAGCCTAACTCTTCACCTGCGATCTAATCGAACAGGAAGGAATATTGCAGTCTCACCGAAAGACCGCGAGCCTTTCGTACGAACGATTCCGCCTGCCACCATCAGAAAAGCTCAAGGCTGAGTGTCTTTTTTCTTTCTGCCGACAATATCCAACACGAAATGGCAACGAAATTTCCTTTTCGCCTGAAGAGGCCTTCATTTAGTCTGACGAACAGATAACGCCTTCTACGAATGATAAATGTTCCAACCTAAAACTATTCGAAATTGGAAGAGTTTTTCAGATGGCTTTCGGGGGAAATTCCAATTCTATGCCTAATAGCTGCGGGAAAAAGGAGGCAAAAACGAAGGAATAAAGGAAGACTCGACATAAAAACGAAACCAGAATTATTAAAGAGGTAATTAAAGAGCATCCATCTACAATTATTCTGATATTCGGTGAATCCTCTTTTTCCAACCATTTTGATGACCTGGAACAGGTCCACAGACAAGCAAAGGTAAAAAAGAAAAGCCCTCAAGGCAACAGATGGTCCTCATCAGTTGAACACTCAATTACGTGATGACCTCCACTATTTATTTTTTAACAATTTAATATATTCCTCAGCAAATGAGATCAAATTGGTTCAACAGATCGGTGATGCTCGAATGTTGGATGCGAAGTCCTCAATAGATGACAAGACATCCTGGCCTCGCATTTCCTTCACACGGATGCGTCTCCTCCGCTATCACGTCAAACTGATTTTGAAAAATCCATCTGCTGCCCCCGTGCCCTTGCCCCAGATGCAGCGGGTGAATGGGACGATACGCCGATTAGATCCTGAGGCGTTGTGCATCCTCACCATTTAATTCCCCAATTTCGGGATGCAATCCAGAAACGGATGCCTTTTTCGTACATTGACAAGTTTTCTACATGTATCGGTGCCGAATTTGCAAAATGCTTCATAGGAATTTTGCCTAAGCATACGATGGTCTTTCAATCATCGTTGTCTGAAAATAATAATTTCCGGAACTATCGACAGCAACGCATTTCTTTGCTGCGAGAATTTCCTCCGACTCTTGCGGAAATGAGGAATTCGCATGCATTGGATTCCAGTCTCACGTTTCATGATTTTTTTTTCATGATTTTTTTCAGCGCCTGAGACAGAACACGCGACGATGCACCTACATGCGAATGAAGAAATTTATGAGGATGGCTTGAACTTTTACATTCAAATGCTTGAAACATGTTGAGCGACAGTATCATTGAAAACAACAAAGTATCTGAAGCTTTCCTGTTCTTGGGCCCATGAAACGCATCCCGAGAAAACTTGCTTTGCAATTAACAAGCTACATTTAAAGTAAGTTAAAGTAATTTTTTTAATATTGAAATTAGTGTCCTAAAATAGGGTTACATTTCGCTTTTACCATAGACACCTCTTCGTCCGATAGCAGCAAATTCATGCTAAATAAAAATGTGGTGATCACTCGTCCGTCGAAGTAGAACTGGCAAAATTTGCACCCATCGTTACACGTGGGGAGTCAATGATCGGCGAGGATATTGGCGAATGCAGTGCACGACTTACGAAGGGATTTTACGCGATTTTTGTCTAATTCGAATCCCACCGAATTAAAAAATTGCTTTAAAAAATTATTCAGAATGCACTGGGAGAAGCATAAGGAATGCAAATTGCTTAGCTCGATAAGTATGCGAGCAAAATGCAAGCAAAATAAATTAAGATCTTGATCTGAATATGTATTTATTTGTATATGAAGCTACAGCTCTGCAACGGATTGAAAAACCGGGAGATTCTCCCTCCCCCGCACCGAATCACCATCGACAACTGCCACAGAATGTCGAAACTCAACGAACTCAGGCAATTTTTCTTCTTTAAACGACCTAACAGACTCAAATTCCTTCTCCTGCAGAGATCCAGAGGAATGGACAGAGAGCTGGGGGTGTGGCACACGCGCACCCTCCCGGTCGTGACCTATGACGCGCGGCCGCACCATCGCGGCGGCTGCGTCCTCCCGCCGGTGACGCTGGACGCCTGCGGCCTCCCCATGGAGAGCGAGTTCATGCCTCCGCCGTCCTACGAGGAGGCGCTCAAACTCCAGCGGGAAGAGTTGTCGCAACCGTGTGATAAAGCCACGTGATATATTTTTTCTGTATTTGTTTGAACATACACGCCTTGACGGCACTTACGGTTTTCTTCCGAAGAGTTTCCTTTTTCACGCACGACAGAACGGATACCGATCGGCCATTCGTTAAATCTCCGTTATAATACGCAGTTAGCCGAATTACCCATCTATGGAGAGGTCATATGAAGGTGAGAGTGGTCTCATATTAGCCGTCACGATCTGTAAGCTTGCACAACAAATTTAACATGCTAATTGATTAAATAATTTAAAAGTTATTTAGTTTTTTTTTCCTGATGATTATTCTTTAGTTCTCTCTCTTGGACCTCAAGGACGCCCTCTACATCTGATGCCTAATTTTATTTATCTTACTGCTAACTAAAATTAACCCTAATTTCTTTATGTATGTTGCAATTTTGTCACCCGAGAACCGAATCCCGTGGAACACAGATGTGATCTAGTACTCATACATTATTGCTATTGCTTGCCTTTCTCGTTTCCTTTCTAAACATATTTCTTAAAACGTAATTTCATTTTATGAGGTCGAGAACCCCGCACAACCCCTACGGTAATCAACAATTTATTTCAGCGCTTTCAAGCCATATTAAATCAAAATTATTATAATAGTTTGATGTCTGTGCATTCGCCATTTTAAAACGTAATTTCCCTCCGCACTCCGAATTCTGAGACAGAATTATGATAATATCCAAATTTCTGTATATTATCATGATTAAGTCCTCTCTTACGTAAAATCGCTTCGCTCCGTCGCAGATGCAGTTTCCCTTTTTTCGTCTCCGAGTCTGAACAAGCGGAGATTGAAACACGGAATCGAGAAACCTAGCGAAGATCCATTTCGTTATTTTAAAAAATATTTGTCGACTCGAGTCCGTCCCTCTTCCTGAAGAACGCACGGTGAGATGCCATATGCGAAGAGAATTATTTAGAGACATGCAGCATGAATATTTAAAAAAAAGTCCTCATTTTTTATTCTTTTTGGTCTCCTGTCGGACTTGGAGAGTACCGATTCTCTTTGCTTCCATTCCCTCATTTTCCATTCCCTCATTTTCGTTAGGGCGGCTCTCAGAATTTCCTTCGAACTCGAAATAGCAGGGAAACCGTTTAAGGCGCCTAGATCCGTCATGCTTTCATGATGGATCGAGGTCTGCATAGTGGCCTTGTTAGCGATTAGCGCCGCGCATTAAGCCGCGAGTTAATCCGTCATTCCTCTCGGTCGACCCAATCGGCAGAGAAGACCCAACGAGGCGGAGCGGATCCACCGCGAATACGGCATGAAAGGATCGAAGACGTCATGAAAGTATCGAAGACGCCACGAAAAGATCGAGGACGCCACCGATCACCCCTGAAGATGCGTTTTCGCTCGATCGAGGCCTGCCGTCCCAGGGGACCCTCCCATCCACTTTTTTTTGTTCTCTTGTCTGCGGCTTCCTTTCATCGAGACTGGACGTCTGCACACCAAGCTGCAGCCATGCCATCATTCGGCACGCGACGTGTCAACCCTCATAGTGCCAGAGTCGAAGTGCTGGCAATAAAAGGATTAAGAAATGGATTTCGCCAAAGTGCTTGATGGCGTTCATCCTCTCGCTTTAACTCTTCCAGTGCCAGCTCTTCGACTCAGGTATTATTTCTAAACAAAATTCATAGCATCGATTAGATCGACGCTGGCACTAAAAGGGTAATACATATTCCGAAACAGCCGACAACAAAGTTGAAAACTTTGACAATCCTAAGGGGCCATGCACCTCTTTCGGCAACGCAACTTTTTTACCCCCCCCCCCCCCTCTCCACCCCTTCTCCCTTGAAGGAGGGAATACAACGCCAAATTTTCAGTCTTACGTATGTAGAAGGATGTTCTCCAAAGACGGATGCACAATATCTCCAAAGACGGATGCACAATATCTCCAATATGGCTAATCGAATTCAGAATCTGTCTGCAATCCAATCTGGAGTGTTAATTCCTTTGAATGCTCCTTCCCTCTCCCCAAACCGAATCGGGAAGCTACCCAATGTTCACAGAATCCACGGAGCTGATTCATTTCACGCCCTTCCATTACAGGAAATTTCCTCAGGGAATGTTTCAGAGTGTGTCATTCACGAACGACGTTGTCTTTCCAATCCCCTAGGGAGAAAAGAGCAAGGAGACTTAACTCGCTTTTCGCCCGTTAAAACATGAATCCTTGGAGAACGGAAGGTGGAAAATGGAAGGTGGAGAACGGAAGGTGGAAAATGGAAGGTGGAGAACGGAAGGCTAGAAGATAGGAGATGGAGAATGGAAAGATGACCTGGTGATCCCAGCCCGAGAGAAGACAACCTCCTTCCGGTCGATGGGACCACCCACGTCGAGTCTACTGTGTCCACTAAATCGATGGAAACTGGGAAGCAGCCCCATTAGGCACCTTCCATTTACTTCTCCCAGCCGCCGTGGTGGCCCGAGCTCAATCTCGTATCTACCACTATAATGCCAGCGGCAGATTACCTATGAGGATCACGAGGATCCCTATTCCTCTGACAGTCATTATGCAGATGAAAATCGAAGGCTCTCTTCTTTGATAAGCAATTCAGTCTCGTGCACGTGGCCCAGCTCCAACGCTCTTAGAGCGACGAGGAGACGGGAAGTAGGCCAAAATTCACTCACCCATCGGGACTCCAGTAGAATTCACTCGCATAGGAAGGGAATTCACTCGCACGGGAAGGAAACAGACTGATTTTCTTCGGCCATTCGCACGTCTCGGATTCCCCTCGGGGCTCCCGACTTCTCGCTTCCAAAAATTCTTATTTACCTAACGTATGCCCTCGTTTCAAGGTTCAGGTTCAAAGTAGGGATGTCAAGAGGCATTTCTGCCAATTAGGACATCTTGCGTCGAGGTCGAGCGTTCCACTATCATCCGTATCCACATCATAAGATACCCCCCCCCAAAGATAAATATTTTTGTGGGAGCATGTCCACCGAATGCCTCGTCACTTCCACCTACATTTCTCCCTTTGTCTTGTCCATAAAGCCATCCAACCTCCTCTTAAAGCTCGTCACGGCGCGGAGCAGCCCCTCCATCGTCACATAACGCATCCCACGCGTTATGTGACGCCCCGTCACGACCTGCGCCTTCACCTTGGGTCGACGCAACCCGAGTCGGTTCCCTCTCGTTCTGCCGCTGCCATCGAACCGGACAAACCTACCACGCTCGACGTTATCGATTCCCTTAACGATCTGAAATGCCTGGATGAGGCCCCCCCTCGTTATTCTCCTCTCGAGTGAGTATACAACGCCTCTAAACGCTTTTCACACGAGAGGCACCTCACCATCTCCTTCATTCTAGCCGTCGGACTTTTTCGCAACGCTTTAGAACAGTGATGAGCATTTTTTTTACTGCGGGCCACAAGCGAACCTTTTGGGTTGCCGACAGGGCCGCATGTATTTATTATTTCCGAAAAACAGGCTTTGTCTGCTCAGTACCAAAAAATCCTAAGCCTGGCTTAGTAAACCAGGTACTATGCTAATGATATTCAAATAACAAATTTAGAATTTCTCTCCCCTTTTTGCTGAGCCAAATACCAAGCAAGCCGCTTGCTGAGAGAGCAGTGATACACTGACCAAGAAGAGGATGAGGGGATATTTTCTGCTGTGGCGGAAATATAGCTTTTGTTTTATTTCTTGCTTCCGTTTCTCCTGCAGTGGGCAACGGAATCCTTGAGCGCAAGTGCGCTCTACGCCAGATGGCAGATGACAGAAAAAAAATTCAGTTGACAGAGCCCCACGGGCCGCGGTTTGTTCATCACTGCTTTAGAGCCTCTCGAGTGACGAAAAACGCGCCCTGACCTGACCCCTTGACCCAATTGGCCCCCTTCTGACCCGGAACACGTCGTTCACCGTCACCCTTACACCCGACCTTGCCTCACGTCCAAATCGCCTGCCTGAGTTCTGTCACGTTCAGAGCCAAACTTTTTGGTGTCGCTCGTCCCAACACGAAGGACCGCCGACACCTCTTCGGCTGACACCGAAGACACCATCGAGGACACCACCGACTCCGACTTGTCCCAAACTTTCTCAGGAACCAGCTGAAAGTAACCCTAGCTCCTAGAGACACCGACAATAACCGTGGTTTTCCTTTCTCCTTCACCACGACCTTATCGCGTCCTCTCGACCTATCATCGCGCCACCTGTCACCACCCTACCTGTCACCACCCTACTTGTCACCACCCCACCTGTCACCACCCTACTGTCACCACCCCACCTGTCATCGCCCCACTCACCGATTCCTCATCCAGGATGACCTCTTTCAATCCCGGAACTTATTTCCGGTCTTAACGACCGTCTCATGGGATCACCTAGCTTTCGCTTATTTCCGCTTCACGACCCGAGTTCAATTACAAAACACGGGCGCCGGCGCTCTCTGTCAGAATCCGAATGATCGGAATAATCCTCAGAATAATCTGGAAGGCTGGGGAGACGCCTCGCCTCTCCCTTCTGCATTGCCAGGTCATGAAATTAAAGACCCGCCTCGTCTTTAATCTGGTGCCGTTTCGGTCTGGTCCCTTCTGAGCCCGAATGACATGTTGCTCTGTAGGGATGAATGAATTTTCTAACATGAATGAAAACCAATTTCTCGTCAGATCGACAAGATCGACGCTAGAGCGAAACTTCTCGACGGGGCGGGGCAGCGCCGAGTGCGACAGAACGACCCGAGATTCCCACAAGATTCCCACAAGATTCCCACAATAAAACCTCCGTCCTTCCTCGCTGCAGTGAATGGATCCTCCCTCGATGGCCTGGGTCAGCCTGAGCGGATGGATGCTACCTCGATGGCCTGGATGGACTCTAATCGGAACGGACAGATACGAGTCAACGCAAGTCGAGGGACACTTTCTTTTTCTGATCGATAAATCTGAGCAAGAAAGTTGGTTGCGACGATGAATTCCAACCCATTTCCTCAATTCTCGCATTCACATGTCATTGAGTCCCATCCCATACGCGAGTCGTCATTCGAATGCTGCTCTCAAAGAGAGTCTTTGACCTATCTATTCGAGTCTTTGATCTATATTGAGTTTGCGTGACGTTGAAG